AAGACTGAAGCATTTAATCATCCTGAAGAGGTTAGTAGCAGAGACCATCTCTCCCTGCACGCACTGAATGGCACCATCCCTTCTAGCCAAGCTAAGTGGCCTAGAGCTGTGCGGTGTGGGTGTGCACTAAATACCACACCCCACCTAGTGCTCAAATGAGCTTTTATTCTCAGAGCTGGATTAGAGCTGAACAATTAAACCTGGAGCTCAAACCCTTATCTAACTGCAGGCAGAAACAAGGGCAGCAGCTCTGATGACTCTTTCCAGCCAGAGCATCTCATCTCTGTTCAGAAGAGACGTTTGTCTCTGGAGCCAGCTGTGATGGTAGCTTCAGTGTTTGCTATAAATACCAGGTTATTTCCTGTAAGCTTATGGTACTTTTTTCAAGAGCTTTTTTCAAAGCTCTCAGCTCATCTGAAGAATGGTACTTCTTTCAGACCCTGAGGAAGGCAGTTACTTCTTGGCACCTGGACAGGTCTCTTCCTAAAGTCACTTTCTGAGAGTGGCAAGTACTTTTCTAGTTATCAGTGGGAGCTGGAGGAGGGGGAGTGAGTGAATAGTACCTAGGAGGCAATGACCATGTTCTAGGCTCCGTTTTTAAGAGGTCTAACGTCCTGTTCCACCTTCTGCCTTCCCAGGAGCTTCACTACTCCCATCTCATTCTTGCAACAGGCAGCGATGGGCCATTCCCTGGGAAGTTCAACAAAGTCATTGACATGGAAAGTGCCATCCAGACCTATGAAGACATGGTTAAGGAGGTGAGGAAACAACTTATTTCTTAGGACGCATTCCTTGCCTTTGTTCAGCTTCCCTATCCCAGACACCACTGTGGCTACCTGGAGCCATCTGTGTCTAAGAACAAGACACCACGATGCCTGCAGGGACAGGCCAGGACAAGGAGCATGGTGCTAGCTTGTCTAGCATTCTGCATGCTCCAGGGGAAACCTAAAATGTTCAACAGAGTTACAGTGTACACAGGAAGAGTGCATTTTTTGTTTCCTCTTAAACTAGGTGGATTATTGCTGTTGTATCTCAGAAAGGCCTGTTCACAGCGTGGCTGAAGGTCTCTGACTTCCTGCACATAACAGTTCTCTTGTAACATGAGCTTCTTCTTTACTTCAAGATTGAGAAATCTGAGCGCATCCTGGTAGTGGGAGGTGGTGCTGCTGGAGTGGAGATGGCTGCAGAGATCAAAACAGAGTATCCAGCCAAAGAGGTAGTAGCATGTTAGTTAATAGTAACTTCATCCTTGTTTCTGCTCTTCTGTGATAGTCCTGCTGGAAATATCCGAGTTCACTGCAAATCAGGAGTTTCCATGCAATGGCAGCCTTCGCCCCCACTGCCTCCTCTTCTGAGAGTGCCCTATAACCTGTCACCAGCAATTACTGGCACTAGATGCCTTTCACTGGCTCACTCTCCTTGGGCATGAAGCAGGGTGGAAGCTAGCTACCTATAGCTGCTCCTGCTCAGCACGCAGCGAGTCCTGTCCCATTCCTGTGTCCCCCTGTTTGCTGTTTTGTCCCCAACAGGTCACCCTCATTCACTCAAAAATTGCACTAGCGGATGTGGAGCTGCTAGATAGTGTCCGTCAGGAGGTGAAAGAGATTCTCCTCAGAAAAGGAGTGCGCCTCCTATTAAGTACGTACTTAACGATGCTTCTGAAGAGCTAGACTCTGAAGCTCTATAAGCTGCTCTTCTTTTAGCCAAAGCGTCTCTTTCTGACTTTGACTAAGCACGGCTCCCTTGAATTCCCATTCCTCTAGAAACTTCTGAGCTAGCTGGAAATGGCAGCCTAATAAAGGTTTGTTACCCACCGCTCTCTGTTGCAACAGGTGAAAGGGTCAGCAATGCAGAAAACCTCACGCTAAACCGGTTCCAGAAGGACACTGTAGTAAGGACAGAAAAGGGCACCGAGGTGGTTGCTGACATGGTGGTCCTGTGCACGGGGATAAAGATTAACTCTTCAGCATATGCGGCTGCATTTGGTAAGTGGAAAAAACCCCACCGGGTGGGGAGAAGCAACACAGTTCTTCAATGTCTTGTACTTAGTACTGTGAGGTTAGGAACCAACCTTCTACTTCTACAACCTGCAGTGGTTATTCCATGATACAGCAAATGCTCTAACATCGCATTAAATACTTAACTTCGGAAACTTACAGACCATAGATCAATAATCTGCTAATACCTCCGAGGAACCTTGGTGTCCTAGTTCAGCATGAGGCAGATGGCACCTAGAAGTTGATGGCAACTCCTGCTGCCAAGGCCAGGATTTCATCCTAGATATAAACTTGCTGAGTTCTGTGCAAGAATAGCTTCAGCACATTCAGTGTTCTTGCTGAACTATCAATGACACGGGGCATTCAGCTGATCAATTACTCAGTAATACACCTTTAGTCTGTCCTCTTACAGCCCAACTTCAGTTTTGGCAGGACAACTATGGAGCAGTGTTACCATTACACAGTCTCGTTCTCAGGCTGTGTATGCTAGCTCTTAATGTTTCTTGATGTTTCTGCTGAAGTATCAAAGGATGATTCATTGCATGAGACAGCAATAATTAACTACAGCAAGGCAAAAAGCACCTCTTCCCTAGTATGTAGAAGAGAGAGCAAAAAACTAACTCCTTGCTTTGTGTCAATGACATGTTTGATAACATCATTGTCATTTTGGGGTCTTGGCCCACAAGCAGCAACACAAAGCTCCTTCTGAACACTTACTGTTTGGCAAAACAGGGGACAAAATGGCAAGTAACGGTGCTTTGAAAGTTAACAAGCACCTCCAGCTGGAAGGCTACGAGAACATCTATGCCATTGGGGACTGTGCAGATCTGAAAGAACCGAAGATGGCCTACCACGCTGGGCTCCACGCCAACGTTGTGGTGACAAATATCATCAACAGCCTGACACATAAGCCTCTTAAAACCTATGAGCCAGGTAAGGTCATCTCCTAGCACCTGGCCTTAGCTGTTGGGCTGCTTTTCTGCAGGGAACAGCTGTTTAACACGTACACATCAGAACTTGCAGGGGACACCGATTAAAGATGAAGGAACTCAAAATTGGGATTGACTATATAAGCTTATAGCTCAGGCTTCATCTTAGCTCTTGCCAAAGACACTGTAGATGTTAATTACCTGTGTCAGTCTACGGATGCAATGTGTCCTTTGTTCACTAATGTCTTCCTGATAAATCTACTGGTCTGCTATTCATCAAACTTGTTTCCTTTTCTTTAAATTGCTTACTGTCCAATTGAATCCTAGGAACAAGGAGATGACTTTTTTCTCCCCCCTTTCTCTCATTAAACTATACAACAAACACAAACTGAACAATCTAGTCTCAAGTCTAGCCAGGTGATGGATCTCATTAATAAGCAACTTATGTAAATACTTACCGTAACTATGTTGAAAGCTCTTCCACATGGATGGAGGACATCTGGACATCAGTTAGGTTTTCAAAGGCTACCCTGTCTCTTTACATTTCTTTCTACTTAAATTTTGTCTACTTCTTGGACTCCCTCTTGGCAGGAGAGAATCATTCTACATCATGCACACAGACAGCCCAATCCTTCAGCAATCCCATTAATATAAGAGGTAGAGCAGATGGTAGAGTTGTGAGTAGCTCTCCTTGGGCCTGCTGCTTTCCTTGCCATGGAGCACATGTGGGTATGGGGGGTGTCTGGGAAGGGAGGGGTGGGAGGAAGTGCAACACCTACATGTAGTAGGGTTTGATACTTAGCTTTGAAACTGCTCAGGTTAAACCTCTACATCTTCTTTCCA